TTATGCATTTTTCCCCTCTAACTAACTTGTGCTGATTTTTGCATTTTTTTTTTTTTTGATGTGGCAGAAACGGACTTCCATAGAATTCAGTAAGCTAGCAAGCATCATATTGCCTTGTTTCCACAGCAACCTAGTGATAGACCAAAATGTTAGGATGGAATTATGTGGAGTAAATCCCATAATTACTTTTTCTGTTTGGATGAATGTTATGAAACCGCAAAGGCATAGTTCTAAATTTCCAGTTGAGTGTCTGTTGAATTTGACTATATTCACCAAGATATGGATATTAAATCACCCCATACATTTTGCAGTGTGCATTTTATGGGCCGAAACATTCCTTGTAATGGAAACACGTTAACCTAAACAAGCTGATTTTAATGGCCTGGCCTGAATTATTTTATTTATTTTATTTTATTTGCTCACTTTTTATTATTCCTGCATGCAAATTGATACTCTCTTGCCATTTAAAAAAAAAAAAAAAATATCTCCCCCCTTCCAGAAAACAATTTTTGAGGTAAACATTTTTATGGCTATGTTATTGACCCTTTTAAAGAAACTGAACTCTTGAAAACCCCTTTCATCCAGATTTAGCCAGACAGGTGGAGGTGAACGGCCATGAGAACAGAGCAGGACAAGAGCAGGAGTATGAGAGTGAGGCAGGCAGACACAAAGAAACGGAAGGGAGTGGGTTAGATTCGCCTGCAACGTCACACTCAGGGAGACACTGGAGCCTGTTGCTATGCCAACGCAGATGGGCCACCGCATTTCAATGCAGACGTCCGCAGCAGGCCTCTCCGCGTCAGACGGCGCTGTGCAGGCAATGACGCCTTGCATTTGCATTCTCCGAAAATAAATGTTTACATGAAGCATACGCTCCTTTTTAAAATACCAACACCTCAAGGCTACCGCTGCTCTGTCCGCTGTTCTGCTCAGTGGGTACGCGGCCGCTCTACCTGTTTCATATTGAAATGTGCATCGCTGGGAGGGAAGTGAGACATCTCCATGAGCCATTACTGTCCGTCTTTGTATCTCTTGGTTAAATTAGCTGAATAAATTGTTCTCTCTCTCACCAATTCGAGAGAGAGAGTGTAAAATTTACATTTGTGGGAGCCTGACTGCTCGTCGGTCTGTAGTGGAAAGTACATAATGTAACACAGCATTGAAGTGTGAGACCGAAATCAATTAATATTTAATAATAATTTCTGACTTTGTGCTTGTTCCTTTTAGTTAAGGCTGTTGAGGAAGAAATCTGAATGTAAACATACAGTAGCATAAATGCCTCCATTTCACAGTAGAGCGGCTCCGTAAGCTTTTTTTTTCGCTGTGCCGACCGTTGTTTAAATACTTGTTAACAAGGTGTGTGTTGATGCTTTTTAATTCCCGGGTGGTTGTGTGCTGCCTTGCTATCTGTTGATGCAGTTGGCTTTTTCACTGTTCCACATTACGTCCCAGTTTGTAGGTAATTTCATCTTCATTTTTCAAATTTGAGAAGTCACTGTGGCATAAACTGTTATACGAAACATGTGGCAGATGAGATGTGACTAGAGACTGATGGCACTTTTATAGGCTTTGTGACTGAAATTAGAATGAATGAGGCAAAAGAACATCATTTCAAGTGGCAGGGGAAAAAAAACCTTCTAAAACATGCAGATGCCTGGATATGGGGTCATTTATAAATAAAACAAGTTGTCTAAAAGTGTGTGAGGCGCATAAATGATGTATCATCATCCTGCTTCTCATGTGACACCTCTTAGTCTATGGGCATCATAACTTAAGGTGTCACCTCACCAGTTTCAGATTTTAAACTTTTTATTTTTTTTTTTTTTAAAAGGGACCATGCATATTTTAACTGCTGGTCACCATTTCAATTTCACAGATTTCACTATTTTTATCACCCTTTTGCCTTCACTGGCATTTCAATTAAAAAATATATATATATTTTTTGAATGCCTCTGCAGTGTGAAAAATTACTTTTTAAATGTACAAATAGTTCATGGGCCCACTCCATTAATATAAAGTCGTAAAAGCTGCTTGAATAACAATTGCAATTCTAAAGTAATTAGTGAAATGCTGTTTAAAATGGTTTTAGATGTACATGTCACACCGCAGGACACATCAACAAAAAAAGAATTTCATGCCAGCTAACCCTGTTCTGAAATTCTTCTCGAACTTAGCCATTATAACAAAACGTATTTTTGAGGAGCTATAGCATGCAGTATTGCATACTGTATGTACTAAAATATAATTTGCTATGCAATATTCTAATACTCAATATGCAATTTTATTATACTTTGAAGAGTCATATTATATATTTTAATATTTAAATGAGCAAAGGAAATATCCCACAGCTGTTATTTGTTCTAAAATGCTTGTAATGCATGGATACTAATATAATATGCTAAAATGATGTTATGCTAGGATAAAATTTGCCTTTGAATTGCAATATCCCGATGTAAACGGCATCCAGACGTACGGACAACCTTAAGACGCAATATTTGCGATATTGCGATTTCCGATTGAACATTTCCGATTCTTCTTCCTGTATCCAAAGACAACAACAGCAGCAGCACGCGGATAATGAATAGTTCGGGGCAGATAGCGATCGCCTTTGTTTGCGCTTTGATGCTGGTAACGTTACTATGTCTCGCCATGTTTACTTCCGATAAACTACACGCAGATTTTTGTATGTGCGAGAAGTTTCTCTACTCAAAAAAACAAGATTCCTTACGAATGGTACATGCGCAGAACACAAATCACTATGGGGATATGCCGATATGCGTTTACATGACCAAAAATTCGGGTTAAAAAAGGGGTACCCCGGGTATAATATCTTGGTTTTTAAAATCCGGGATATGAGCATATTCGGGTTTTTGCCGGTGTTTACATGGCCGTTCGAGACCAGGTTATTGCTAATATCCCGGTTTTGAACGGGTTATTGGCTGCATGTAAACATAGTCAGTGTAAACTTGTGAGATATGGTTTTCTGAGTGCACACAGACGAAGAATGTGCTTCAGACACTCACTGAAGGTTATGTCAAAAACGCACAAAGTTTCCATAAACAGTCGGTTATGTCTGTGAACGTAAACAGCAGGGAAATAAATCGCATGTGTATATTAGATCTGAATTAACGTGAAAACAGCGTAATATGCAATATCTACTACTTTAATATAAATCAAACAACAAAAGAAAACCAGAAAGTAACTTTAGAAAATTGAATAAGAATGCATTTGGAATTAAAGTGGATGGATGGTTGAGTACACAAACTGCTAATGTTCAAAAACAATAATTTTTTTTTTTGCCAAATTGGTCCCCTTTAATATTCAAATATACGTTATGATTATTCCTTATTTTATATTTAAATGAGCAAAGGCAATATCAAAATATAATATGTAAGGAATATTCTTTTAACCATAAGCAAAGACAATAACTAAAGCACTTGCATTAGTTGGACAGTGTTCAGATACCGCCATTGTGCTTTCCGTAGATATTGTCTGTGTATTATTGCTTACCGTATCCCTTGCGATTTCACACATTGAAATTCTCCGAGTTGCAGCTCTCTCAAAAACCAAACCATCTTTTATCATCCCGCTCCCTTCATTTGTGCTATGTTTTTTTTAATGGAATTGGCTGCACAATGACTAGTAACTCCCAGGTACAATGATCTATTCTACAGCCGTGTTATCTCCCTAATAGAGTGCAGCATAGAAGTAGCAGGGCAAGCGCTAATTGTCAAGGAATCACACAGGAACATCAGATAGAACAATGGCGCTATAACTCTGCTTTCTATAACAACAATAATATTCCTTTGTTTCACGGAAATGAAACTCATAGGCAGCGAGAGCTCCAAGCAGGCCCAGCCTCTTTAAATCTGGGATTATTTTTGCCATGTGGTTCCTTGGAGGTGCATTGGAAAATACGAAGCAAACATTCTCCCTTTTCAATTAAATATCGCCTTGAATGCGATTCAGCTCACCCGAGAGCGTTCGTAATGTGTGGCATTCCTGACGGTAATCATATTCCACACAAAACGGCATAAAGGCGTAAATGGAGTTAATGTGGGTTTTCGCGAAGCTCCCAGCTGATGCATTATTTTTCTGATCTTGTCGGTGTGCTTTTGCTTTCCAGTTTGTTTACTGCACTGATATGAAATGCAACCCGATTGACATCTCCCCAGTTTCCCGTGCCTGACCCCACCATTTTGGTTGGCTCGTCTCATCTGGATTTGCATAGCAATTCCTCCTGATTGTCTTCTGCATTTCTGTACGACTCGCCATCGCATTAGTCGGGAGTAAACAGCAACCACCGCACCGTGATTACAGAACTCAAACTGCCGGATAATGGCTCCCGCATCGGTGTGTGTAATTGATTGGTATTGAGCTGTCAAGCTGCATACGTTATTACAGCACTGAAATCAACTCGCAGGCTTTTGTCTGTTAGTAAGACGATAGACTGTCTGGGACGGGTTGCCTCTGTGCTCTTGGGAGAATTTATCTTGGTCCCTGCTGCTTTTTACGAGACATTTCCCCACTGCTTTCTGACCTCTTTTTGCTGTTTTATGAGACTGGCTTTCGAATGCAACTTTTATGGGTGTAACTGCTATAGCATAGAAGCATATGATCTAAGGAATGCTATCTGCCAAACACTAAATATGTGCTCCATTAGGAGAAAAAGCATTTTTTTTGTGAGCAAGTGCCTTTTTTGGCACTTGTGCCAATTGAAATGCTTTTTTCCTTACCCTTTCCCCTCCCTCCCCTTCCTTTTCCCTCTTCAACACCTCTTATTGCCCCCCTTCCCTTGAAGAACTGTGTGTGTTTATTTTACCTTCCTCCTTTTTTCCCCCCTCCCCTTTGGTTTCCTTCAAATTCGGCATCCGTGTTTGCCTCAGGATGTCTGTCACAAACTGCAGTCAAACGTTGTGACAATGCTTTTCGTTTCCGCCCGTGCCTTTTTTTATGACCCTCTTATTTCTTTTTTCCTTTTTCCTGTTTTTTCCTTCAAGGTCTGGCGCACCTGACGTTAAAGAGCCAAGGTATGGGGCCTCTCCCATTTCTTTTTTTTTTTCTTTTTCCCCAATTCCCCCCTTTTTTTGTACCTAACCCTTGCTTCCACAACTCATTTAATCTACCTTTTTTTCCCCTTCCATTTCTTTGTCCCGTTGGTTTCTGCGCCCTTTCATTCTCTGCTATCTGTGTGTTCTCCATGTGCGTCTCCTCACCCCTGTCCTGTCCACTGGCCCAGCCCCAGGAGCAGCTCCTCTGATGGCCACTCCTGCAGCAGGTAACGCTCTTACGCTCTCTCCCTCACATGTTTGTTTTGGTCCTGGTGTTGTGCGGTCACAAACCGTACCCAGAATGCACAGAGCCAGAGCTCTGCTGTCATTCTAGCTGTTTGGCTCTATTAAAAAAAAAGATAGTTTTGATTGAAAGCTGATGATTGAATGCGTTTTTATTTAATATGTCCTAATTGTTCTTGCTCAGTTTTTTTCTTCTTGATTATGGGTGTGTATTTGAAATGCAAATAATGTACCCATTTGAAATGTTTCTTGCCTCTTCTTTCAGCTGAAGTGACTCATTGTGGCGGCTGATAACTGTCATTATCTATTATACACTCCACATTCTTTTATCTGCATGTTCGCTGAATTGCAGTGTAGTCAGGCTAAGCTTTAAAGCAATTATTTTTTTTTATAAGAGTAGTCTACTGTGCTGCCACTTGAAATGCAAAAAAAAAAAAAAAAAAAAAAGAAACTTCAGTCAAACATATTTATCTAACAAATTTCGACAGAGCTCACTCCCTGTCTGGAGCAATAACTGAAGGCAGCTTGATTCCTTGATTCCCTTACTGACCTGTCAATCTTAATTACTTCAAGTGATTACAGGCCTACGTGAGATAAGCATGGTTTGCTAATTGCGGGATTTGCTAATGATTGGTTCATGAAGCTCATCTGAGGATGTGTCTCTATCAAAATGTGATGTGATTTACACCACGCACACACAAATCTGTATTATATTTGAATTAATAACGGTTTTTAATTCATGTTTTTAAATATATAGCCTACAGTATACGAAAATATCATTCCTCCAATGTTTTGGGGTTAAGATTTTTTTCAAATAAATTCTGTTCTTAACTTTCTATTCATCAAAGAGTCCTGAACAAAACAACAATCGATCTCTATTTGTTCATGTTAATTAAAGCATTAACAAATGAGACTTTAAGTTTTACTTTGTAAAGTGTTGGTAAACAATCCACTCCCTTAAAATGTAATAAAACAATGCAAACAAGTCATTGGACAACATTACTTAAAGGCTACATATAAAAAATGCATGTGCCTTGGATAAATAAAAATGGAATAGCCTCTGAACAGACAAAATGGAACTGATTTTATTCAAACATACTCTTGCTGAAAATAATACGAGAACAATAAAAGTATTATTATTAATAGCTATTATTGTTATTAATAACCCATCAATGTTTTAGAAAAAAAATATTACGGTTTCAAATAACATCCCTGTGTTTTGAGCTGTGTACGCCGAAGCTGCAGAGCTGAATGGACACATGTAAACTGAAACTCTTGTTAGGAGGTTAATTAACTCAATGGGACCTTTATATTACGACTTACATGTGCACAAAGTTAACCGAATGTGAACGTGAACGTGTCTGTGGTGCTCTAAAGGTGTATCTCCTGTTGTGGACAACAATGTGCAGAAACACGGCAACTGAACTCTAAAAATTCGCAGCGTTCTCATTATAATGTTATGTATATGACAGACAGTATACGCCAAGAGTATCGTGGGTGGTTTATTGCCGTTTTTCGGTTTGGTTTGAATATCGTTACACCCCTAGGATTTGCAAAATATATGTATTTTAATTTTGTTTAAATAAATGCAGCCTTAGTGAGCATTAAAAGACTTCATTCAAAAACAAACTATGTAAGAACATTTCCATGCTGTGTGGTATAGCTTTTTTCCCTCTCTATAGCTTTCCAGTCAAAACAGTTTAGGTTATTTTCAGTATTTGAGTTTGTAATATGGCAACTACAAAATAGTAACATGCTGTAATTCATCGTGTTTGTTACTTCTCATGATTTTTAAGAATTAAATTGGCTCTATTCCAAGACCTAGTGAGCTGCCTTGATGCCTAATGCCTACATAAACAGCTGCCTTCCAAGACGGCATCCTAACCATAATGGATCTTCATAAGTGACTGATTCAGAACTTTCTGCTCAGGCAGCAACTCAGCATGCCACATAAATGGCACTCTGGAGACAAGAATCTCAGTTAATTCCAATAGTTTAGTTATAGCTTGTTGCTAAGCTACTGATAAGGAGTTCTAATAAGCCTTTTAAAAAAATATATTAAGCTTTCTTTATGAATGATAATACTGAATTAATTACAAGTATATCTTAATCAACATTTCTTTAGCCCTGTTCGCCATCATGGATTTGTCTTCACAATGCAGGCTGGGTTTTCTTTCTTTCCGAAGGATTCATGCTGTGCTGCCTTAGTATTTGACAAAGTAAACAGTCAAAAATCATTATGTTGTCTACCTTTTGGAACACTGCCAATTATGATGCCTTAATGCTGCCTACATATGCACACTCTAAAAAAAATTATGCTAAATAGCACTAAAAGTGGTTTTATTGGCTTGTAATCATAGGGGAACCACTATCTTTGTTATATGGTGCTTGCTACAGTATGTAGAACCATAAGAAGTGCCATCAGAGCATGTTAACCACCACAGAGAACCACTGAAGAACCAAACTGGGCTTATCAGGTTCTTTAAATGGTAGTGGTGCTATATAGCACCATGTGCAGATTAATATGTTTCGAAACAGAAAAGTTGGATGTTAGCATCTCCAAAATAAATAAATAAATAAATAAAAATACACGCCGTCTGCCCACCAGGAGTACTTTAACCTCAAGACAGTTGGGTCCTTTATATTATTCAGATGAGCCGAACAGAGTTTAAAGAGTTGTTTAAGCTCCAGAGCCAGCTGAGGTCAAGACGAAAGGCAGCAGAGAAAGAAGACTCTACCCCTGTGGGCTCTGAAGTGTAATAGAGACTTTTAATTACAGTGTGGGTGGGGGGGAATTCGACCCAGCTGGTTAATTATTAGGTACTAATGAGTGACCTTAATTACTAGCAAGGATGCAGGACAGTAGATTTCAGTAGACTTTATTTACGTGACCCCTTTAACCATTTAATGCAAAGAAAAAAAAACAGAAGCCCATAAATCAGAAGAACGAGAGATGACCCAGCAACGCCGTCTTTGCTTCCAGCCTTTGTCTTTTGAGCTGCAGCTCTACACAGAGAAACTAATGCTGAAGGGATAGGGGCTCATTTTTCTCAACTCGGCCTCTGGCTGTGCTCGCAGATCAAACGTTCCGAGATTGATCAGTTGGAGAAAAAAAGGACTTTCTTTGTCAACTTTCCTGAGTCTCGCATTGACTGCAAAACTGGAGTTTAGATGCCAGTTCTGATGCCTCACAAAATATTTAGAAGTGCTGTAACTGTTGTCAACAAAAATCAAAGCAAGAAAGCATCAAGATTTTAGCATGGATGAATGGGACACCCCGCCGCCCTTGCTGACTACATTGCAGATTCACCTATTTGCACATAGCATTTTATTAATTTTTTTTATTACTGAACTAAATATTAAATAAAAAATGTAGTGAAGCTCAAATCATATCACATCAAATAGTTTTAAATTACAGAAAATATCATTAGCCCTGCATGCTTTGATGCGTTGATGCAGACAAATAATATGTCAAATAATTGTTGCAATTTTTGGTAACACTTTATAATTAAGGTGGCGTAAGTTACTATGTGTACTTACTTTAGTAATAATATTAAATTATGCATAATTACTAACTTGCCCTTACCATAACTCTATAGTAAGTATATGTTGTTGATGTAATTAATATTACTCAGTACTTATTACCCCAGCACTGCTGGTAATCTGCTCCTGGACTCAAGTTCTTTATCAAAAGTGTTATTTCATGTATTTTTTTGTACTATGCAGACACAAATTTTGCTTAAAGGGATACTCCACCGTTTTTCATATTAAACTATGTCATTCCCTTAACTAAGCCGAGTCGTTTCATACAGTACCTCTCTCATCTCAGTGTGTGGACTCTGGCGCGCGAGACACTTTGATAGCACTTAGCTTAGGCCAGTTCAGTCAATAGTGGCTAAGCAGGGAAGCGTCCGAACACCTCCACGTTTTCCCTATTTAAATACAGTTACTCGAGTATTGTAACTCGACCTAGGACGGTGTAACATCGTTTACTTATGACAAAACGGTGGAGTATCCCATCTTTTTATGACCCCACATTTCGGCTAACGACACTATTTTCGTTTTCGACCTAAATAGTTGGATCAAGCGCATGTGGACTGATCATTTCTTCCACTTTATAACTAGTTATAGCACACAATGAGCATGAATATACATTAGGGGTGTAACGGTACATGTATTCGTATTGAACCGTTTCGGTTCGAAGCTTCCGGTTCGGTACGCATACAAACCGAACGATTGCTTGGACCATTTTTCCTGCCGGCAAAATTCGTGCTGACGCGGCCAACACAACGTTGCGCAACATCAAATGGCAAGCGTAATGAATGCAGAACGAAACTGCGCTATAAATGTGCTTCACGGATCGTTTATCAGTTCGGACCAGCAACATCTGTGCAGCGCGAGCCGATCTCGACCAAGCGACACTAGGCGTTTCTCAATGTCAAGGAAGGATCCTCGGAAGCCGGAATTTCGAGGATGCTACGTCATCGACGTCCGTCGAAGGACTGTTCCAATGTCGAGGATCCTCAGAATTTCAACCAAGGACTGAGTCCTTGGTTCGGAAAATATCCCATACACAGGAAAGGATGCATATGTGTAGCCTTCGCGCTCTTAAATCACCCACAATCCTATGCGCAGCTTTGCTATCTTGTTCAAAAAATAAAAAAAATGTCGACCGTTAGCGGAGTCGGAGTGATAACGGCAATATGCTTTCAAATGTAAGCAAGTATAGTTTAGCCATTTATTTAATGTTTGTTAAACTATTTAACATATCGGCTCAAATTTGCTGAGGGGATTTAAAGCTGTTCCCTTTTACTGGTGATTAACTTTTTAATTTTTACTTCATATAACGTTATAGCCTTTTTTGTTGGTCACATATTTTACCATTGCATGTGTTTTAACAGCTAGCATGCTAGATCATGTTGCTATGGACGCTAGTTCTGTTCACTCCGGTAATATAATCGTTTTTGAATGAATAAACTCCTTT